TTTAAAAAAATTATAAAAATATCGTCACTTGCCAAATTGATGGAGTTATGTAATAATTGATTTATTTGATAAATTTGAAAATTTCTAATCCCTAGTTGGTTATTTACTTAAGATCACCTTTTATGATAACTCTAAATAAATTTTTTAAGAAATGATTTTCAAAGTAGTATACTTTATTTAAGCCTTAACTTGGATTTTTATTTAAAATAATGAAATTTTTGCATGCTTAACTTAGAGTTGAAAATATTTTTTTCAAGTTATCTTGATTTATACATTTTTTTTTAAAGACTATATATACTTACACATATATATATTAAAAAAAACTAACCTTATAAAAGAAGAGTGCGAAAAATGGGCACCACCCAAAAAAAATAAATAAATAAAAACTCTTAAATTCAAGGTGATTCTATCTTATAAAGCCTAAGTTGACTGAGCAATTAAGCCCAAGGAGTATCTCTATACTTAATGACCTAAGCCCAATTGGGTTGGGATTCATTGGCCCAAAACTCGTTAAATGGTCACTTAGAAAGCCCGTTAAAATAGAAAACAATCACCAAGAATTAGAGAGTGAAAAAAATATATATAACTCTAACCATTGTTTTTATATATTGTTGTTTTGTATATATGGTCTTGAAAAACAATTTTTGATCAAGAGACTTGAAAGTTATTTAAAACAAAGAGTTGGCATGTTCTTTTCAAAACTTTTTAATTAAATTTCTAAGATTTGACTTGGTTTTGTATTGCTATAATGAAAAAGATTTTCTAGGGGATTTACATTGGAGTTATATATAAAAACGTTTTCTTGATTATTAACTAGCTTCAATTAGAATGTTTAAATATATCAAGGAAAATCTGTTATTTACTGACTTATTTAACTTGGCAAGTTGACCGAATTTTGTGGGTATATTCACTGCAAACCCTCACGAGACTACAACTCGTCCACTAAGGTAACCTAGGGGTTTAAAGGCTTGTTCTATGCACTAAATACAACCGTGATTCCTGCGAAAGTGAGTTAGGATTTTCTTTTTATTTTCTTTGCTAGAGGACTAGCAAAAGTTTAGGTGTGGGGGTATTTGATAATCACATTTTATCACAATTTTATATCATCATTATCTATTTTATATGAATAAATATAGCACTAATAATTGCTTTTATCTTTAATTGCAGGTTAATAAAGAATAAATCCTAAAAATCCCATCTCTCAACAAAGACCCTTGAGTAAATAAAAAAAAAAAATAAGAGAATTAATTTTTGAAAATCACATGTGTGCAAGGAACCGGATTTGGACTTAGTTGCTTAAAAATGAATTGGACTTTTATGCGAAAATCACTAGCTGCTGCAGTGGACCGGAACCAAGGGTTATAACATAAAATGGACCGGACATATGGACTTGAGGTGGAGTTGCTGCAACTTGGATTTTCATAAGAAATAAATGTATGGGCCAAACATTGATGGATGCAGACATGAACCGGACTTGGTTTCTTTTGAAATCAATTTGGATGCTGCAGCTTTGAATTCATGCTTGTAGCTTTGAATGGGCCGGTCTTGTCTTGGGTGCTTTTTTCCTTTGAATCAAATGAATCTTCATTAATTGGGCCGAAAACCAATAAGCTCCAATGGACCAAAATTTGCTGCTGATTTTTTTCTCAAAGACTTGGACTGCTGGCTTGGGCTGAATGAGTTGTGGACCGAAAATCAATTTGGATTTTCATGTGAATGAGCCAAACTTGATCAATTGATGGGCTGCAGAAAATTAAATTCGAAATTCAAATCATATGGGCTAGAGAAGAACAAAAAGCAAACTCTTCACTAACAAATTCAAAGGTAGAGATTGTTACTTAGGGCTCAAGACAAATCCAATGGCTCATATTCATTGAAGATTACTATATATAGTGGTAGAGAGTGAGAGGTTAAAGGTGAAAAATTTTGTAAACTACTTTTGGAGAGGAGGGCTACTCTTAATTGAGAAGCCCTTCCAAAAATTGTAACTTTAGTTACAATTAATAATAATAATTTTTCTCCTCTTTAAATTTGTTCTTTCTCCTCTTTGTTGAATGATGAGGATGGAGATGAAGAGCAAATTGAAGGTTTGTATTTCTTTTCTCTTTTATTTCCTTTTAGTAATTTCTTTATTATTGCTTATTAGTGAGATTTAAATTCATGCTTGTAGTGTAGATTTATTTTCTTGTCTTTTTTGTTTCTTTTTGCACTTTAATTTGTAGAGTAGATTTATTTTTCTTGTATTTAATTTCTACAATTTATTTTATAGTTTAAATTTTTATTTTTATTTGTAATTAGATTTATTTCTTGTTTATAGTTTAGATTTTTCTTTTCTTTTTATTTTTGTAATTAGTTCTTTTTCTTGTTTTTATTTCTTAAAGATGTGAATTTAATTCTTGTAGGAAGTTTAGAATCATACGAAACTAGTCTAATTTCCTTTATATTGTATGAATTATTCTCTTGCACTTAAAATGTTCATGTTTAGGATAATCAACTAGAGAACTAATCGGTAGAAGAAGAATTTGATAATCTATGCTTATCTTAAATAGTTTGATAGGTTATGCTTATGAATTCTAGGATTATTATCATGTTGTTGTTCTTTTCATGAATAGTAATTTTGACTTAGATGATAATTTGATAGGTTACACTTTCCTTAAATGGTTTGATAATCTATGCTTAATAAATCTAAGTTGAAATATGATAAAAAAACAATAGTTTATATTTTGTAATTGAAATTTGTTAGTGGATTATATTCTAGATTTCTTACCTCTTGTGAATCCTCCATCTTAACTTTCTTAAATTTTCTTTTCATTCTTGGTTTATTTCTTGATTTTATTCATTCTTCTTTCTTGTCTTGTGATTTCATTTCTTCTTTGATTCTTTCTTCTCTAAAATTCAATTTATTATCTCTACAACAATTTTAGAATTATACGAAACTAGTCTAATTTCCTTTATATTGTATGAATTATTCTCTTGCACTTAAAATGTTCATGTTTTGGATAATCAACTAGAGAACTAATCGGTAGAAGAAGAATTTGATAATCTATGCTTATCTTAAATAGTTTGATAGGATATGCTTATGAATTCTAGGATTATTATCATGTTCTTGTTCTTTTCATGAATAGTAATTTTGACTTAGATGATAATTTGATAGGTTATACTTTCCTTAAATGGTTTGATAATCTATGCTTAATAAATCTAAGTTGAAATATGATAAAAAAAGAATAGTTTATATTTTGTAATTAAAATTTGTTAGTGGATTATATTCTAGATTTCTTACATCTTTTGAATCCTTCATCTTAACTTTCTTAAATTTTCTTTTCATTCTTGGTTTTATTTCTTGATTTTATTCATTCATCTTTCTTGCCTTATGATTTCATTTATTCCTTAATTCTTCCTTCTCTTCTCTAAAATTCAATTTATTATCTTTTGCATATATTCATAACAATCACTCAACAAAATCACACTTATTCTTTATTCCTAATTGTCACGCACAAAACATAAGAACCATTTCTAATAATCTCTTAAAATCACCTTCCTCATGGGATCGATATTTTTATACTATAACTTGATCAATTGTGCATTTGTAATTTTGGTACATAATTATGTCGCATCAGGTATGTACTATTTGGACGACAGTGTGCCAGAAGCTGGCCTTATTGCATCACAGTCTGACTCCACTTTATTGTGGCACTGGCGTCTGGGTCATCCTTCACTATAAAAACTTAGATCGGTAGTTTCTGTTCAGCCATCTATTTCCTCTTTAGGTTGTGAGTCATGTGAACTGGGTAAGCACCATCGTGCTACTTTTCAGAGTCGAAGTCGATAAACGTAGTAGTTTTGCTTTTGAGTTGGTTCATTCCGATGTCTGGGGTCCTTATCGTGTTCCCTCTGTGCAATGTTTTCGATATTTTATTATCTTTGTTGATGATTTCTCTCGCATGATGTGGCTTTATCTGTTAAAAGAGAGGTCAGAGGTCTCGCACGTTATTGAACTCTTTTATAATGAAATAAAAACTCAGTTCTCTACTTCTGTTCGTATTCTTCGTACTGATAATGCTTTGGAATATATGAAAAGTAATGTTTTAAAATTTTGTACTCTTAATGGCATTATTCATCAGACTTCTTGCTCTCACACTTCACAACAAAATGGAGTTGCTGAGAGGAAGCATAGGCATATTCTAGATGTTGCTAGAACACTCATGATACATATGAATATTCCAAAGTATTTGTGGTCTGATGCTGTTCTCACTACAAATTATTTGATTAATCGCATGCCTTCCTCTGTCCTTGATGGTTTAAGACCATTCAATTGTCTTTATCCTGATAAAAAACAATTCTCTATGATTCCTCGTGTCTTTGGTTCTACGTGTTTTGTTCAGGATTTAACTGCTGGTTTGGATAAGTTGTCATCTAGATCCATCAAATGTGTTTTTGTTGGATACTCTCGTACTCAAAAAGGATATAGGTGTTATCATCCGTCCACCAGGAAATATTTTATGTCTGCTGATGTTACCTTTTTTGAGTATGTCCCATATTTTTTGTCTGGTTCCACTACTATTGGCTGTCCACAGGTACCACTACCTTCTTCTGCTCCTACTACTATTCCATTACCTGCTCCTGTTGCTCCTGCACCGAAGCCTCTACTAACATACTCTCGCCGCTGCTTTCTAGAGGGACTTGGGATTTGGTCTCTCTACCTGCTGGAGCGACTGTGGTTGGCTGCAGATGGGTGTATACCTTGAAATATCGTCCTGATGGGTCTGTTGATAGATATAAAGCTCGCCTGGTTGCTAAAGGATATACCCAGACATATGGTATTGACTATTTTGAAACCTTTTCTCCCGTTGCTCGTCTCAACTCCATCAGAATTCTTTTCTCTCTGGCTGTTAATATGGATTGGGCGATGCACCAACTAGATGTGAAGAATGCTTTCCTTTATGGTGATTTGGACGAGGAGGTTTATATGGAGCAACCTCCTGGGTATGTTGCTCAGGGGGAAAATATTATCTGCAGGCTGAGAAAGGTCATCTATGGGTTAAAGCAGAGTCCTCGAGCTTGGTTTGATAAGTTCAGCAAGGTTATTTTTAATGTTGGTTTCCAACGTTGTCAGTCTGATCACTCTGTCTTTCTTCGACGCACAACAACTGATTTGGTTATTTTAGCCGTATATGTTGATGATATTCTGCTGACTGAGAGTGACTCTATTGCCTTAACTGAGACTAAGGAGTATCTAAATCGTCATTTTATCACTAAGGACATGGGAAAACCAAAGTATTTTCTTGGGATTGAAGTTGCATATAAAAAACATGGCCTGTTGTTGTTCCAAAGGAAGTATGTGCTAGATTTACTAGAAGAAGCAGGTCTCTTGGAATGCAAACCTGCAAGCACTCCAATGGAGGCAAATGTTGATTTGTGGCGTGATGATACCTCTCTCCTAGATGATGCTGGACGATATAGGAGACTAATTGGGAAACTAATATATTTGACAGTTACCAGACCTGATATTACTTTTGCAGTAGGTGTATTGAGCAGGTTTATGCACAAACCTAGAGAGGTTCATTGGACAGTAGCTCTGAAGATTTTGGCATATGTCAAGAGTTGCCCTGACAAAGGATTGTTATATAAGAAGCATGTGCATACTCACATTTCGGCTTTCTCTGATGCTGGCTACGCAGGAGACATGGGAGACCGGAAGTCAACCTCAGGATTTTATACTTGGAGAAGCAAGAAACAAGATGTAGTATCACGATCTAGTGCAGAGGCCGAATATAGAGCAATGGCTGATGTAGTATCACGATCTAGTGCAGAGGCCGAATATAGAGCAATGGCTCACACTGCTTGTGAGATGATGCGGCTAAGAAAGTTTATGACAGAGCTTGGTTTTGTTCAGCCTGGACCCATGCCAATGCATTGTGACAACCAGTCTGCCATTTATGTTGCACAGAATCCTGTGTTTCATGAGAGGACAAAACATATTGAAGTTGACTGCAATGTTGTCAGAGATGCTTGGGAAAAGAAGATAGTATCTCTCATATTCACTCCGTCCTCACAACAATTTGCTGATATTCTTACCAAGGCTACTTCTTCAAAGGTGTTCTCTACTATATGTGATAAGCTGGGCATGGTAGACATCTATGCTCCAGCTTGAGGGGGAGTGTTAAGTTAAATATTGGGTATTGGGTTAATGGGCTGTTACCCGTTAAGCTTAACCCTATTTGTATGGCTATATATATATCTTGTTATTCTCAATAAACTATTAGGGTTTTTTCTATTCTCTACAGTTTTGTACTTCTACCATCTATAACGTCTAAAAGAGCTGAACTCAAGAATAAAAGGAGCAATTATAAATATCAATTGTTATTTCTTTATGGCTAGAGTAATTTCTCTCATTTGGTTCATTGGTAAGTAATCGTGTTTCTAATTTATCTTTTGTGGCAACCAAAAATTGTTTATTTAGCCATTGCCATTCAATATCCAGCTACAACCTATGTTTGAATAAATACAATGATAACTACTAAAAAAACATTAATTTTTTCAGATTTCTAATTTTGGATCAAGTTGTGTGTCACAGTCAAATTTCAAAATATACAATCCTTTTGACATTGGAAGTTTATACTTAAAAAGCTGAAATTATTATTTTCATATCCAACACTTCGCCACGAGGACTGTTAGATTGCATGGTAGACATCACCCGTAACTACGCAATAACAAGGATATCTTCATCTCACCTAAAACCGATTTAATTCCACATGTATTTATAGAGTTCAATGCGAAACATGAAGACTTAAATTCCTTTGAAATTCTCGAGGACCATTACAGCAAGTCTTAGAAGCTCTTAAGCAAGGAATGAACCTAGCCTTGGTTGCCCTTTATGAACCAAAAGCTCAAGTGTGCAACCAAAATTATGCATCAAGTACAAATATTAAGTAATTTACAATCTCATACCAATACAAAACATAAACTCACTTCTTCAATAGTGAAGCACTGCACTGTGCCATTATTTTCGATGCCCTGGTGATCGAATCGGTCATGTAAAAGTTCTCCACAGCCGGACCAAAATCCTCATCCAAGCTCATCTTCCCCTTGAACTCGGGCTTCAAATCAAACATTACAGTCGATGGTTCCCTCTCATCAACCTGCAATAAATTCGGAGCCACTTGTTCGATTCGAGCACGGACACCCTCAATAGAATCATAGGATAACCGAACTCCTGCAACTTCTGATAAGGCCCGGATTATTTTCCAGTCATCTCTAGCATCCCCAACTGTGGGGACCGCAGGGACAGTCCATTGAGCACAACCCTCAGTGTTCTCGTATGTACCTTCTTTCTCACTGAACGCTGAAGAAGGCAAAATAATATTGGCACGATAAACACCCTTGTCACCGTGGTGACCTTGGTACACTACAAAGGCATCATCCGGGAGGTTTTCTAGGGTTACATCATCAGCTCCCATAAGGTAAAGGAACTTGGCTGTTGGGATGCATTCCTTAGGGTTAGATACAAGGCCAAGATCGAGGGCAGCAGCTTGGGCTGCATTTAGGAGTAGGACGTTGAACCCGTTCCAGTCTGGTGTAATGAAGTTTCCATTCTTGGCTATGGACTCAACGGTTGCAATGATGGCATCTTTGTCATTTCGTTCAAAGAGTCCAGCGCCAAGGATGATCACTGGGTTTTTGGCCGATTGGATGGCGGAGCAGAAGGGGTGACATCCCTCAGCGATCTCGAGGAGTGTTTTAGGACCTGTGCCGAGATGCTGGTGGTCGTAGTTGAAGTCGGTTGGATGGCCAATATAGCCTACTTTTGCTCGAGTTGCTCGGACAGTTTTCCGGATCCTTGCATTTACCATTGGGGCTTCTGTTCTCGGCTGTAAAAATAAAATCTCTAATAAGCACCAATATATTTCCCATCATTTCAGCCAGCAATCAAAAACAACAACCTGAAAATATTCCTAGCAAATATGTAACTGTCTTGGAGATGCAAGGTCATAAAATCGTTAATCAGTTCGTTCAACAATATTACAGATACTAAGAAAATGTCAGGTGAATAAAGGATTAGGAGTTTAGCACCATATACAGAAATAAAAGAGGTATAAATTTATAATAATGATTATAGCAAACTTATAAGCCACATAACACCATATACAGAAATAAAAGAGAGATAAAATTATCAGGACGATTGCATAAAACTTATAAGCCACATAAGAAGCTTTAGAAAAGAGGTAATCGGGTAAAAACCAAAAAGGGAAATAGGTTTATGCCTTGTATCTGAAAACGACTTTAGTCTTATGTGATGGAGGTAAATTATAGACGCAAAATATTTATTAATAATAATTAATAAATTAGGCGAGGAAAAGAAACTGATGTTTGGTTTTAATGATAATGCAATAGAATGCCAAAGGAGATATTATTTTGGATTTTTCAGAGAGTTTAGTGATTTTATCATCTGCAGGAACTAGTGCTTATATAGGTTAGTCAAATATTTACCATTTACAATAATTTTTTGCACTGAACAGTTCTATAGTAAAGAATGCAAGAGAATATATGTTTGTATCTGCATTTAACCTTTACTTTGTGAAGTCTATGCATCCATGGTTATGATCTACGTGCACAAACACAGAGAGGGATTGAGCACCTTGGCATTTCTGGTACATGCTTCACATGCACATATGCAACACAATTGACAATTCATTAATTATATGCTCCTAACCTGGAACTCTTTTTTCCTCCCTTCTACGCATATGCATCATGCGCTATACATGCCCATGCTACATAGAATTTGAACTAATTAATTGAAAGGTCCTCTAGACTAACCACCTGGATAGATACCCAATACAATTTAAATCATATAAAAGCAAGTACAACAGCTAAAAGCTCACGATTGCTGAAAGTACAAACCTGGGTACCAACAAGGAGAAAAAGATCTGCCTTCTCGAGACCAGCAATATGAGAGTTCATGAGATAGCTAGAACGCAAGTCAGCTTGAGGATTCGGGCCATTTCCTTCACATAAGACATTGTCAGAACCCATCCTGTTCAAGAAATCTTTTAGCGCCATCATAGATTCAGCATCTGAAAGCTTCCCAGCGATTCCAACAATTTCCTCAGGTTTAACTTGATGTGCAACCTCAGAAACTACAGAAAGAGCGTCATGCCATGTTACAGATCTAAATCTTCCATCTGGACCACGAATCATGGGGTCGTTTAATCTTTGTCTCTTGAGGCCATCATAACAAAAACGTGTTTTGTCAGATATCCATTCTTCATTAATATCCTGTGCACATTGCATAGAACTTCTGTAAGCAAATAATATTAAAAACAACAACAATAATAATAAAAAACATGATAGAGATAGCAGAAAGACGAGCCAACATGTCAATTGGTTCCACACAATCAACCAAAGAATTGACAAGTTGCAACCATGAAACAGCATATCGTCTGTGGGGACAGTGGGGAGCGCTTGAGCTGGCTTGTGTCTCATCAAGGAAGATATGACCTCCCTTTCTTTCACTTGAATGCATGGATGAAAGAAAATCCCCTTCCCCGACCAGGCTGATATTCACCTTCTACTGCTTATACACTCACTAAGAGGCAACTTTGTCTAGTGGGGACTATTTTGATCTTTTTTCTTCTCCAGAGGTACTTAAAAGCTTATCACTTATAACAGAACACTTAATTCTTTTTCCAATGAATACTCATTGAAAATCTACGTCTCCATAGAGTTT